GTGTCATGTGTTGGATGGGTTCCACCTGAGTGACCAACAGGATGTGCTTGGGTTGTGTCATGTGTTGGATGGGTTCCACCTGAGTGACCAACAGGATGTGCTGGGTTGTCAACTGTTGGATGGGTTCCACCTGAGTGACCAACAGGGTGGGCTTGGGTTGTGTCATGTGTTGGATGGGTTCCACCTGAGTGACCAACAGGATGTGATTGCGTTGTGTCATGTGTTCCACCTGAGTGACCAACAGGATGTGCTGGGTTGTGTCATGTGTTCCACCTGAGTGACCAACAGGATGTGCTTGCGTTGTGTCATGTGTTCCACCTGAGTGACCAACAGGATGTGCTTGGGTTGTGTCATGTGTTGGATGGGTTCCACCTGAGTGACCAACAGGATGTGCTGGGTTGTCAACTGTTGGATGGGTTCCACCTGAGTGACCAACAGGGTGGGCTTGCGTTGTGTCATGTGTTGGATGGGTTCCACCTGAGTGACCAACAGGATGTGCTTGCGTTGTGTCATGTGTTGGATGGGTTCCACCTGAGTGACCAACAGGATGTGCTTGGGTTGTGTCATGTGTTGGATGGGTTCCACCTGAGTGACCAACAGGATGTGCTGGGTTGTCAACTGTTGGATGGGTTCCACCTGAGTGACCAACAGGGTGGGCTTGCGTTGTGTCATGTGTTGGATGGGTTCCACCTGAGTGACCAACAGGATGTGCTTGCGTTGTGTCATGTGTTGGATGTTGTTTGTTTGAAAGTTACTATTCATATTTTTCTTTGTGTGATTTTACAATTCTATGCAAAAACTGATAAAATGTGAAAAAGGGCAAAAGTGAATTCTTACACAAAATGTGGAAATTGAAAAGGTCACCATTACTGATCAGGTACATAAAACATCTATAAATTTACTCTCAACTCAGGTTTAACAATACTAACATGCTTCACGAAGCACACTAAAGCATAAGGAGAACACTTGTGATTTCAGCATTTGATGTCTCAAAGGAAAGGAAAAATCACAATGACTAAGCACATTTCACTGGAACACATTTGAAACAACTGCGATTCTCATAAAACCACAATTCAGAACAATCTGCTGAGTCATTGTGACACTGGGAAACTCCCACGTCATGAAGCTGTGGTTGCATAAACACAAGAGCTGTAAGGAAGGCTGGTCGAGATCCTGCTCACTTTGCACCGCAGAATGTCTTATAAACATTTCAGTTTGCAAAGCCTGTTTTAAAGTAGGAATACGGAAGGATTGTTTCACGTAAATATACTTCATAACATTTGATAGGGATAACAAGATATTTCATACTGTTATGAATTTAAGAGATCAGGGTATCGAAATCCGAACTTATGAATGATCAATTTATTTAAAAGGAAACAGGAATTGTTCAAGTTCCTTGTACTACTGGGACGGTGGGGATAGTCCTGGATATTGCCCTGATTTTCATATTGCGATATATTGCAATAATTTAAGAGATATTGCAATATATATTGTGATATATTGACTGAAATGTTTCTGCCAAAGTGCGTACATCATAAATTCATAATAGCTCTCTGTGTGTGACATCATCTCCTCAGTTGCTGTTACACCATACTTTCAGGCTCCCTGTCCCCATTGTGTATGGCTGTATGCCAATCGTTTACAGATAAATAAAATAATATAGAGCCTTAATGTGGAATATGTTGCACCAACGTTTTGCGAACATAATGATGAAAGGTAATAGTATAACATGATTTTCATAGTCAGTGTTGTTTGCTTAAACGAATGTACTTCAGTGCAGTATGTAATTATTGTTACTGTATGTGATTCATTCAGATTCAATATGTTAACATGAACTATTCCCAAATGAAACAAAAACAAGATTTAGTTGAACTACTTGAGATTAAAATCGCATGTGACCTCCAATAGCTAAGATCCTTGACTGAATGTCATTATACAGTCCTACAATTTTTCTAAGACTCAGGCCTGTAGGATAAATTGATATCATATGCCCCATTATGAAACAAACAAAAATAACAAAATACTGTGAACTGTGAAATGGTCACTCAGAGCCAGAGGCTCTACTAATAAGTCCAAATAAAATTGGTCCATTTGAGGCCACTTAATTCCTCCAAATGAAACCATTCAAACCCACAAAACGTAAAGTATTTGGTAGACTATTTGGCAATTTTGGAGCCACTTATATTGACACTTCCACTTGTAAAATGTTACATGAAACCAACAGAAATAAAAGTATATTTGGAAATTTAGGAGCACATTTGTTTGCTATGGAAATCAAAGGCAGATAATTCAAATGGAGCTAACTCTGGATGACCCAATATATTGCAGAATCTGAACCATATCGTCATAATCGTATCGCGAGATACTGTACCGGTATATACCGGTTTACCGGTAATATTGCACAGCCCTAATACTTAATACAATTTATTCTTTAGCAACATAGAGTACTGCTTGAATTTGAATTAATATCGTCTCATGTGGAGAAAGGGAACTGCTAAATGTGCTCATGTGTAACATGGCATAAACACAGAGACATAAGAATACAAGCTCCATTGAGCATGGAGAAATAATGCCTAGTTCTTATTGAGCACTTTACAGATGATAACACATGACAGGTGAAATATACTAAAAGTAGGTCAAAATCTGATGAGAAGTAAGTTTCTTTGATGTATCCAGTATAAACGTAACTATGACAATATGATAAAAGCATGATCAAGTTAAACTCAATACATAAAAAACCTGAAGAATAACTTAAAATGGGGGCAAATCTACTATTCTGCTTTTGACCATGTGAACTTGGTTACTCATCAATTTCCATGATACACAAAACTCAGTCTCATATGTTGACGAGCAGTGGGGTAGCCTTGTGGTTAAAGCGTTCGCTCCTCACACCGAAGACCTGGGTTCAACTTCAAGGCCCTACATGGGTTTATTGTGGGAAGCCCATTTCTGGTGTCCCCCGATGTGATATTGCAGGAAAATATTATAGCAGCATATAACCATTCCCACTCACATGTCGAACGTATGCTTAAACACAATGACATATCTGATTATCCTTTTAAAAATTTGAGCAGCATAAATCATTATCTACAGTTAGCAGACATATCAGAAATATTTGGTAAGATATTTGGTTTACAGATTTTCATTAGTAGGGGAAGGATTCAGTGTTAAAAACCTTTGTGTGACCAGGGTTTGTAAGAAACCTAGGGCATAGTTGTATTTGGTTAGCTAGTGGGGCATGAAAGAAAAGTAACTCTAACATTAACGATTACCATAACGTGTGTTGATTTGACAATAAGCCTCAGCATCTGTGTTCATTCATATTGATTGTGGTCACACATTTGAAACAGATCAGTCAACACCTGACTGAACTACACTCCTCCAGGATAATCCAACCTACAGGAATACTGTCAATTAAGGCTGTAATGATGCATCGAACTATTGATACATTGCAATTGTTGAGTCTCCGATAGCAATTATTCGATGATAGAAACGAAAAACTATCGATGCATAGTAGGGGTGGGCGATAATACCGGTATACAGGTATATTGCAATTCGAACTTCACAATACGATATATTGCTGTACACATTTCGCGAAACCGATTTACCCGATACGATCGGCAATTTCCGTGACCATGATCGGTAAATTTCGTGATTTGTATTTTCTTTATATTATTATACAATAATAGTTTTGAGAATATTTATTGGTCATATAACTGTATTTGCATGACTTTTAAACCATGTAAAAAATAGATTGGTACCGAAGGCAGACACTTTTTCTCGAGTTCCAAGCTTCAGAGCGAAATCTTCTGTTTGGAAACATTTTCAATTGGTCTCTTGTACAATCAAATCTGAGTCCTGAAAGTAGCCATTGGAATTGTTTCAAAAGAAAGGAACAGTAATTTCATTACCCTGAACCATGTGTTACACTTTCACAATATATTGCAATACATATTGCAATACGCCAACACATATCGCAATATATCGCAATATGAAAATTTTGGCAATACCCAACCCTAATGCATAGTATGTGTGACTATCGATAGTTTAGTAAATTGACTTCCTTAGATAAATGCGCAGCAAAAAATACAGGAAGTACCAGATTCGTTCACTTTGATTTAGAGTTATCTGCCCCTGTTACCTCTTAAACAAACTAGTTCTGGGTTTCAAGTTACTTGTCAGTTATTAAAAGAGGCTGAAACTACTTAAACTGGATTTTATTTGATATAAACTATACATTGATTTGGGAAATGACTTCAAATGAGACAATTTAAGGAGAGAAAAACTACTGCAATAGTACTGCAATAGACTATTGCTATCGCAATAGTTGTCTCCCCCCTCAATAGTCATCCCTACTGTCAATGTGAGTTGCAGACTATACAAAGAGATGAGACAGACCCTGAAACAAATATACCCAATACAGCCCAAGCAAGTCTAGGCTACCACAGTTCCAGCTATGAGCAGACCCGTGAAGATCTGGGTTAAAACTGATTTTCAGTAATCCTTGATGGCGTAAGAGGCAACTAACAGGATCAAGCTCACTGATTTGGTTGACACATGTCATTGTATCCCAATTGCGTAGATCGACGCTGTTGATCACTGGATTATCTGATCCAGACTTGATTATTTACCGACCACCACCATATAGCTGGAATATTGCTGAGTGCAGCGTACAAATAAACTCACTCACAACTACAGCTTCAGCTATGCAAATAACTTAGGAACTCCTTTTTCTGTAAAATATGTTCACTTCAGAGAGTAGATGTTTGTGTAAGAGAGCAGTCATACCTATAACATGGGCTGAAAAATATTGAATTCAAGTTTGAGATTTTCTGCAAATTAGGACCCAATATTGGCCTCTGAGCAGAATAGCCTCCATGTTGGCTGCACTGTGACACACTGCATGACAATGTAAACAAATCATATAAACATGACTGTTAACATGTACGCTGATCCAAACAACACCAACACTGACAGATATGTGTTGAAACAATACCTACCTATCCTCTCTACTGCAAACACTATGGTAGATCCGCTGCCAATACCAACCACTTGGTTGTCCTGGAAAAGAGACAATGTAATTCAAATAACTTCTACGTGATACCCGTAACTATGGTAACTGATGATTGTTTTATGCATGTAGTGATTGGACTTTATTTTATTCAAGTGTGCCACTGTGCTGCAAGGCGCTAATGACTATGGGCTATGTGTGTGTGTCCTTTAAAACAAATCTATCAATCTATAAATCTGACTGGTTGTTTGGAGATGCTGTCATCAGAATAGTATGTGATTTGGGTTGTACCTGAACACGTTAAGCTTCCACAGATATGTTTAGACATTTTGGGGCTTTCTTCAATGTGTCGTGATCTTTTTTCCTCGATACCACATTACATTTTCACATTATTTTCCTCATTACAAATATCTTCATGTGATGCATGAACCCCCAATGAAAGCGATTATGTGAGGGTTAATATAGTCTAGTTTGAAGCTAAAACATTTCCTAAAAATGTGTGTTCCGTGTCATAGTGTTGGGAATTGGTTGAAACCCCACAATTGATGATTGGTTCATTACCAACGAGCAATCATGGAAAAAATTGGTAAGCGACATTTTTCAGATTTTTCTGTTCAAGCTGTTAATGCAGATAGTTATAAAGAAAAAAATGTGTGGTTATCTGTTGTTTTTTGTTTCATTTAGAAACTGCGCAAATTTCACATCCAATGTAAAATGATGCAACTTGCTCTTTCAATGTCATGACATAATTTATCATGGAGAAAAAACTTCCCAGAGTCTTCACAAAATATGCAGTCATGACTTTTCAGCAAGTGAAGTGAGTTTTCTAAGAATTAAACATGTTGTCAGACCCTGACAACTTCAAGGAAATGTTCCATCGTCAAGTGTTTCAAACACTAAACCAGTAGTTCCGAAATCGTTTCTTTGATTATGAGAAAATGTGAACGATTGCTTGGTCATTTGATCACCACGACCAATCTTCGATTATTTCAATTAATTGAAAAACCACTACTGTGTCATGATTACAGTGTACAAAACACAAACATTAATAACGCAAAATGACAACACAATTCAAAATAGACACATGATCAATTACTTCCTTAAACATTTAGCATAAAATATTCAACATTCTCAAATAACTTAACCTTATTTACAGTGTTCGAAATAGCCACTGGCCCGCTAGCCGGTGTCTAGTAAAAATCCAGTCTGTCCAGTAAATCTCAAAAGTCTCTGGCCCGACATGCTAGTGAATTTTCATAGGGTGATTTTGTAAATATATCACTCTCTCCGACTTGTAAAGTTGTAATAGACTTTTAAATCATGCAAGAGTATGGCCTGATAAAAATGTTCATCATAGCAGCTTAATGATGAAACCTGTGTCATGCCGACATCTATTTTGGTAATCATTTACTTCGTTTCTACATTGAACATTCAAATTTCAGGCTAGTGAATTATTTTGTGGGCTAGTAAGTTTCAGGCATAGCAAAATTTGAAAACTATTTCGCACACTGCTTACTTAGAAAAAATATGTTCCTATCTAAGAACACATGGTGATCTTAACTTGTTAGTATGCTTATGTTTTTTAGTGAGTGAGTTTAGTTTTACGCCGCACTCAGCAATATTCCAGCTATATGGCGGCAGTCTGTGAATAATCGAGTCTAGACCAGAAAATCCAGTGATCAACAGCATGAGCATCGATCTGCACAATTGGGAACCGATGCAATGTGTCAACCAAGTCAGCGAGCCTGACCACCCGATCCCGTTGGTCGCCTCTTAAGACAAGCATGGGTTACTGCAGGCACATTTAACCCGGACCTTCATGGGTACTAATGTTTTAGCAAATTCTTCTGCACTATTCATACACATTCATGGAATTCAGGCCATGTAGTAATTTCCGTTGGTTTATGAGATCAACTGACCAAGAATATTGAAATTTGAAGGAAAACAAATGACATTTGACAAAACAATATTAGGATACTGTTATACATTTAGCTGTAAAAAATAAATAAATAAAATAAATAAAATAAAATTAAAATAAATAAAATAAATAAATAAATAAAAAATAAATAAATAAATAAATAAAATAAATAAATAAATAAATAAATAAATAAATAAATAAATAAATAAATAAATAAATAAATAAATAAATAAAATGTTCGTTTCCAGTAACCCTCCTCGACCCTAAATCTTTTGTTAAGCAAGTCAAAATCATGACTGAAGTGCATTTCAACTCATCATTTTCATGATTCTCAGTGTACGTAGGGTTAAAATGGATTGCATTGAATTGACATAATGGACTCTCATTGACAAAACCTGCAAATAAATAACATAAATAATGATTTGATATGGAAATCTTTCAATGTTTCATCACAAGGCATTGTCACTACATGATATGGTATCCTTGAAGACCTTCTCAGGTGCCCACCTGATGCCACTAAAAAATTAAAAAACAGTAAAAAAAAAAGGGGTTAAAACAGACCCAGTTACCCTATTTTTAAAAAGCATTTAATAGGAAACGGACATATTTGTTTTTGGCCTAATGAAAAACAAGTAAAGAGGATATCTCATCTGTTCTCTAAGATTAATAGAACAATGAATATATGTATGCAAATTGAATTTAAAAAACATTTTGATACCAACAATTTATTTTAGGCCACAAAAATGTTTTAACCAACAAACATAAAAATAAAGGCTTAACTTAATGCCTGGTAATGCCTAAAAAGGAGTTAACTACATTGCAAACAGTAATTCAAGAAATAGTCATAGATCCATGTTTTGTTTTTTTAATTTTTAATTTTTATAACATGACATGCATTACATATTCCACACAATCAACAATCATATTTTATTAGTAATATTATAGATCCACTTACAATTTAAAACACATATATTCTGTTTATCTATTTTCTTCTCATTGCTCATTTGTTTTAGATATATACTACTCAAAAGAAATCACAAAACACCTAATCTTTGTATATGACAAAAGTCAATCTGACATATTCACTAAGTCATATGAAAAACCCTTAGTGTTCTAACTTCTGTTGAGTAGCATACATGAATGGCATGGTAAACAAAATGAGGTAAACATTTTCCTGAAATGAATATTATTGGTCAATAGGTGTCAGACAGTATAGTGGAAGTTGTATCGCGTCAGACAATCTGATTTATCAGTGATAATATTTTTAACAGGTGGTGATGCATTAATTGTCTGTCACATTATCGTGTTGTCCCTCATCTTATTTTGACAGTCCACCAAATATGACAACGCTTCTGCCTCAAAACTAATCAAATTATATTGATAAACATAATTAATATATTTCACCAGACATTAAATGTTAATGTATAATTTTTTATTACAAAGAAAACTGCTGGCAAGTGCCTTAGTGCAAATGGATTAGAGGTGACAGTAGTGGCATTTTTTTATGTCAAAGTTCTTAAAAATATACATAATTCTACTGTTATTGTACATATACATAATTCTACTGTTATTGTACATATACAGAATTCTACTGTTATTGTACATATACAGAATTCTACTGTTATTGTACATACACATAACTTTCTCCACACAAAAAGAAAGAAAAATATAATCACCAAATGTTTAATATTATGATATATATAAAATGTCTAAAGCGTTCTATACTCATTTTCCATAACCTATGAGAAAACCACAGCCACTGACCAGCTGATGTCATCCACTGACCAGTTGACCCATGCAGTACGCAACGACCTGTTATGTGTTCAATTAAAATCAAAATTGTTGTTTCTACAAATTGAAGGCAATACAGATGATACCATTAAAAGCTATAAAATTTTGACATGTTCCCCATCAGAGAGTGAAATGCGGTTTCCTTCACTTATCATGTCACTGTCCAAAACATCAATCTAAATATATCTGGAGCACGTGTATCCAAGCCCTTGTTAAATGCATCTCTTTAGAACACAAGTTAGAGTAAGCCTTATCAACAAGAAACACGCGTTACCCTAACGTGATCATCCACTGCCTGGACAGCGGCAGCGCGCTTGCCTGTTGTGATTCCGTCCTCCATGGCCTCTGAAAATGATCTCTTTCCCATTCTAATTAAGTATGATAAGCATAAGGGGCGGTCGCATGGGCTGAATAACAAGTTTCTCACTGGTGAGATTAGTACGCAACTCATGTGTGCTATTCAAGTCGGAAGTGACCTTTGATCGAATCTGAAATTTACTTGCTCCACACAGCATAGTCAAATGAAAAGCAACAAGTTATCATGGAAACGCATTGTTCGGAGTTTGGAGAATTTGGCGCCACATGGTTATTCATGTTTACGACATTTACCTCCCCTATTTAGTAATGTCGCGTAAAAGAGTCATAACTATCTTCAAGTTAAAAACGGACACGAAACACCGAGAGTTTATACATACCGTGATAAGTCTTAAAGAACATTCTGAACAAAAATAAATCGCTTAATAACGATGACACAGTCATTCTTTCCTAAAATAAATCTAAATGTAGACGTGAGTGCGATGAACTGTAGGTAAAGGTGAAGGTCGTTTCAGCCTGACCTTGGCAAGAGGTAAACAGAGGCAGCGAGGATGTGATATCACAAGCGTAGTCTTCTCTGTCATCTCCAGAACAACTATGGCAGGCTTCCAAAGTCTTTTCAAAATCCAAAGTGGCTACAAAGCAACAAATGGTATTTAATGCAAGACACCGAATAACATCGAATTGTTCACAGAATTATTGAAAAGTCATTTGCGAAACCGCATTGAAGGCCAACATTTACAGGAACTAACTGGAAACAAAACCCAACTCCGATGCAATGATATTTAACTTTAGATCACAGACCAAGCCTGCCAGACAAACACTGGATTGTTGTACCTGAAACTTTAATAAGGTGTAATTTAACAATTTACAAAGAGATTATCACCTTTGTTAAGATGTCACTTTTGTATTGACACCAGCCAAAGACGTATATATATTATACGCTAGAGTTATCTTCTGTGTGTCAAAAACCATCCATTAACAAACGGCATTGAGTATTCATACCCATAAACAAAGCACTGTTAATCCATTAGATTTGTTCGTACAGGGTCCTATCAGGACCCAGCTGAATGCACCAGACCTTTCAGTAATTTAATTAGCTTGCAAGGATTTTTCGTTTGTGATTGAGAGTGTTGCTGCAAATACATAGACAACTTTTAGACAAATTCTCAGTAGCTTAATGTACATGATATATCTTGTGTAATATATAAAAAAATTGCAAATGTGTTTGTTCATATATAGGAAGGCTGACTCTGAAACCGTCCCTCCCAACTCCATCACTCCCAACATCGGCTCCCCCAACTCTTGTCAGCCATCATGATCCCGCTCAAATCAGCTCTGACGGCTCACTGGTACAGAGTCTAGCTGCAAGATATGTGCTTTCTTCATCTCTGCCTCATAATCATGATGATGGTGAGTATACTAAACAACACAGGTTACAGATCATAAGGTAGTGGGGGGAGCCTAGTGACTAAAGTATTCACTCGTAACGCTGAAGACCAGCGTTTGATTCCCGACTTGGGTACAATGTGTGAAGACCAGCGTTTGATTCCCGACATGGGTACAATGTGTGAAGACCAGCGTTTGATTCCCGACATGGGTACAATGTGTGAAGACCAGCGTTTGATTCCCGACATGGGTACAATGTGTGAAGACCAGCGTTTGATTCCCGACATGGGTACAATGTGTGAAGACCAGCGTTTGATTCCCGACATGGGTACAATGTGTGAAGACCAGCGTTTGATTCCCGACATGGGTACAATGTGTGAAGACCATTTATGCATTTCCGTTGAGTGACATTGCTGGAATATTGCTGAAAGTAGTGTAAAACTAAACTCACTCACTACAGTGATCTTGTCGGTTTATTTTACTTCAAATGTAACAAACTTTGATGCTGTGAACTTTGTACCTTTACATATTAATTGGTCAATCTTTTTTCTGTGTTAAAAAAACTCTTATGAAGATGATTTCTGTCAAAAGGAAAGTAACACTTACAAAATATTCACCTTTTAAATTATTATTAAATTCTGACATGTTTAATATGTCTTATGGGCTGTCATGGTGAAAGAAAACATTTTAATTCACAAGAGATTTCAACATAAATTGTGACATATTTGCTTGGCAGAATTTGAAAAAAAATGATAAAAGTTTTAAAAGAGAGACATATCTTAACTTTGATAGTTAGTTTCAATCCTAACAAAATCCTACAAATAATAATTATTTGATGGTAGCTGGAATTAACAGTTTTTTTCCCCAAATTAAATCACACATCATTGCTTTTTAAATGTTCTCTGCTGATTTTGTTGTCTTCTAATTGGTTTTTCAGTTCTTGATGGAAAGAAAATGCCTCAGTCAAAGGGAGGTAACCCACTTAGACAAGAACTCTTTCCCACTACATCACTGAAGCTTGTCAGCAACCCAGGAAATGTTGAAACAGTAAGAGATAAGGTGAATATGTTTGAATATTGATAATCATTATCACAATGTCATTGTCAAATTATTGTGTATGTGTCTGTTATGTTATCTTATCTTCATTCTCTTCAGTGTGTCAACCGAGATTACCCGTGGTTCTAATAACTAGCCCAACGTGATCACTGTACCAACAAAGATTTCACAGTGTGTGTTATATGCTGCACGTTTGTTACAGATGGGAATTATCCTGGTTGAATTAAACCATTTGCCTGAGTGAAGACAATTCTTTTCAGTGTGTCAACCGAGATTACCGTGGTCCTAATAACTAGCCCGTGACCGCTGTACCAACAAAGATTTCACAGTGTGTGTTATATGCTGCACGTTTGTTACAGATTGGAATTATCCTGGTTGAATTAAACCATTTGCCTGAGTGAAGACAATTCTCTTCAATGTGTCAACCGAGATTACCTTGGTCTGAATAATAAGCCCAATGTGACCGCTGTACCAACAGCAAAAGGTTTCAGAGTCTGTGTGAAAGGCTGCAGGTTTATCTGTTTGAATTATCCTGTTTGAACTGAAACATTTGACAGAATGAAAACAACCTAATTTGACTGTCCAAACATTGACTTCATGTCATATCAGGACAGAAATATCAGCTAAGACTTGTTCAAGAGGCTGAATCTGATTTTAAGTATACTATAATTAATATTTAAATAGCACCTGTTCCAATAAATTGCTCAGAGGTGCTCATGCGAAGTCAATGTCAAAAAGCTGTGTTTTAGTAATCGCTTCAACTGATCTAGTTCGCATATGTCTGGATGTGGATTGGGAGATTGTTTCACAATGTGGGTCCTGCTTTAGAAAGAGATCTGTCACCATCTTTCTGTTTCTGGGGGGTATCGCCAATATTCATGATGTTCTTTTGGGGCGGTGGGGTAGCCTAGTGGTTAAAGCGTTGGCTCGTCACGCCGAAGACCCGGGTTCGATTCCCCACATGGGCACAATGTGTTAAGCCCATTTCTGGTGTCCCCCGCCGTGATATTGCTGGAATATTGCTAAAAGCGGCGTAAAACTAAACTCAGTCAGTCAGTCATGATGTTCTCTTTCTCAGAGTCCACCAAGTGATGTAATGGGGGATAAACTCACTAATATGGCTGCCATGTTAGACATATTGAAGGAGTTGCTTATGACTATTTGTCTATCATTAATATTATATGTGTAGTTCGTGGTGGATTACCAGTTTTTGTAATATTTGAGGTTTTTGATTTTAATATGAACTTTGATATATAAATATACTGAAAGTTGAAACTTTTAATGGATATTTTTCAATCATTTCCTTACAAACTGTTACGAAATAATTTTCCAGTACTTGTATTGTATGTGTTGGCAATAATGAAACTGCTCAAACTTCTTATATTCTTGCTAAAGATCCTGTTATTTTTACATTTTAAACAGTTGACTGTATCTTGACCTAAGCTACAGTGACATGGCCCTCATAGTTAATCTTCTGGAACATATTTGGGACATACAGATTCTTCCTAATCTTTTCTTGCACCCAGTTGTCATCCTAACTGTCCCAGTCATTTGAGGCACTGAAACTGCTATGCAGAGTTGTGTCCCTTTGGGATACCAGCATCTTGATGTTAGGATTCTCACCACCAACCAATGTTTGTTGATTTCACCAAATCTGTAACATTCTAGGACCTGCATCTCCCAGGGATGTCCTCCCACGTCAGTCTGACACACTTTGATAAAACTGAATCTTATTCAAAGTAGGCTTAATCCTTCTCAGTCTCTCGCAAATAATTCCTACCTATAACTGTTTGTAACCATGGTAACCTTGCAGCCTAGTGTGCAGAAGAAGCGGCCAGAGAAGGATGTTCATACCGCCATGAGTGCCATAGTCTTGGGGTGGCTGATCACCCAGAGAGACATGCTGGTAGGTTGGACTGTTGTACCTCAGGAATAAACAAACGGCTATTTTGTTAGGGGGCCAGTTGGGTAGCCTAATGACTAAAGCGTTCGCTTGTCACGCTAAAGACTGGGTTCGATTCCCCAGATGGGTAGAATGTGTGAAGCCATTTCTGGTGTTTCCTGCTGTGATATTGCTAAAAGCAGCGTAAAATCACAGTCACTCATTATTTTGTCAAATGTAATTATTTTGGAAACAAACTATACAAGATGTGTTTAAAAATAGCATTTTTTCAAATGTGATTCACATTATACAGGAATGGTCTGTTTGTTTGGAGCACATATAGTTGTGCATATCAGTACACATGGGTACTTAGAAACAATAAAATGAACGGCAGTTTGTTAGTGAGATGGGTGAACAGAAAATATAGTGTGTCTTGTAGAATGACACATAAACTGTGTACTTTTGTTTGGCAGTGAAATGGGTGCACATTGAAAATGTTACTTATGATAGGATCTATAATGAGCCAGTCTTATTGGAAACATTCACAAATAATTACATAAGTGACATGAAATGTTGTTATTTCTATATTTCCAGAAGGATTTAGCAGATATGAGAAGTACAACTGTGAAAAACCACAACCTCCTGCTGAAGAATCAAGGTCAGTTCTCAGAGTTCAAAAATGTGTCCTGCCTCAGGTAACTTAGGTACAAAATTTACCATTGTTAAACTAGGTTATGTACCACGGTTAGGATCCATGAAGGTCTGGGTTAGATTTGGTGTTCAGCAACCCATGATTGTCATAAGAGTTGACTAACCGGATCAGGTGGTCAGGCTCGCTGACTTGGTTGACACTTCTCATCATATCCAAATTGTGTAGATAGATGCTCCTGATGTTGATCACTGGATTGTCTGGTCCAGACTCGATTCTTTACAGAGCACTGCCATATAACTTGAATAGTGCAGAGTACAGCTTTATACAACAAACAAACAAACAAACAGCATTAGGTGTAAGTTCTTGATTCGGGACTACCTTTGTTTCTAAACCCAGCCCGGACTAGCTCGTGTTTTCAGAGTTGATACTGTCTTTCTTCTTATTATTAAGTTTAAATCATTTAAATCCAAAAGCGTCAGAGGCTGTACTGTGTATCCAAGACCCAAGATTATAAAATGAGTCTCAACTCAAGAATGACTTGGCAAGATCTCCAGGTTTGAAATTAAGCATTGTTCTGGCAACATTTGCTCTTTATCTTCTATATTGTACATGTTTATTTTATGTAAGATAACCTGAATTCTGGTGAAGGTTACCTGACCCTTTCTCTTTCATGGATGGGCCATCAATTACAGATGTTAGGAAGAGTTACCTCCCCTGGTACCTTCAGCACCCTAAATTATGCCATGTATATATTTTGTTTCCAGAGAGCACCCAGGCCCAGATGTTGGTACTTGTGAAGCAGCTGCAAGTCCTGCAGAAGGAAATCGCTGCTTACCACCTTTATACACAAGAACAGAGGGTCAGTATTGTAGTGCATCTCAGTTCCGGTTTACTGTTGGAAGGGAAGTTACACTAGGATCGGAAGTTATTATAGTCATGTGGGGATACACTCTTTTTTTTACATTGTAGATATTTATTTTTAAATAAGATAACCTTAATTTTGGTAGTTTTGGTCAAATGAAAGTATTTTTTTCTGATCACTGCATCAGAACATACATGTATTTCCGTTATATTATTGGGTATGTATTACTAAATCACCTGTAGATCACGGGGAAACTTTGATTGCACAGCCTGATCTAGAACTGAAAAAAAGAAAAATGAGTTTGATAAAAGTGTAACCCATAGATAAGCCAAGCCATTTTTATAAACTGTTTATTTTGGTCCTCAAAATTTGGCTTATCTGTGGTCATTTACAGTACTTGACCATATCTCTGTCTTCACCACCATCTGTATATGTACAAATGTACACCGGCAAAACTACAGGTGATGTCAATGTAACATACATCTTACTCAAGAGTTGCTTGTCTCCAGTTGACCCTCAAGAGGCTGGTGCTGGTAACAGGTTTGGTCAACCTTCTGCTGATGGTCCTGGCCATGTCCTGGTCGAGCCGGTCAGTCAGGAGCACATGCTTCATGTGGTGAGGGAACTTCTGTCATTCATATTTCTCATCTTCTGTTTCCTCCATCTATCCATACGTCTTTTACTCTCCATCAACCCATCCATCCATCTGTCAATCCATGCTTCATTTTCTCTATTGTCATTCCTACCTCCATCTGCTGTTGGTCATCATTCCTCTTTACATCCTTCGACCGCCTCCGTGGTGAAGTGGTTAGAGCGTCCGCCCGGAGAGCAGAAGGTTGCGGGTTCGATCCCCGACCGCGTCATACCAAAAGACGTTAAAATATGGTACTTGTTGGTCCCTGCGCTCGGCATTTATGGGTACAACAAGGACTGGTCGGCTCGGAGTCAGTATAATGTGTCCGAGTGGGGTATTTATGCTTCACTGCAGCATGGTATCTCAGTGAGCTAGCACTATAAAACCAGCTTCAGTCTTGGCTAGTACAAGCAGCCGCACATACACATACACATGCATGCACGTCGTCATATGAGCGAAATATTCTCCAGCGCGACGTTAAACCCAATTTCACCTCACCTTTACATCCTTCCTACCTCCATCTGCTGTCGGTCATCATTCCTCTTACATCCTTCCTACCTGCATTAGTCCATTCTTTATCCATGCCTCTTTCATTTCTCCTACTACATATATCCTACCTTAGATCATTCCTCAAACCTTCCAACACCCAAGTCATTCATCCTTTCATCCTTTATGCTATCTTTGCTGCTTCCAGTTTAAATCCCTAAAGGTTTGTAATTGTGTTAAATGCCTTTCCTATCTCCAGCTTGTGTTCAAGATTTGTGTATACATGTGTGAACCATGCCCCTTACAGCCTATGTAATTTGTCAGGTATGGTCACTTGAAGCAGTCAGTCATCCATCCAGCACTGACTGTGCTCAGAGACTACAAGAACTTCTCCCAGTCAGTGGTCAGTCAGTAAGTATAGTCACACGATGTTCTTTATGAGACTTAGATGTTTAAACAGGTAGCCAGATCTAGTGGCTGAACCTGTTAGAAGTATTGTGACAGAACGTTGTGTGACTGGAATGTTTAAACAGGTAGCCAGATCTAGTGGCTTAACCTGTCAGAAGTATTGTGACAGAACATTGTGTGACTGGAATGTTTAAACAGGTAGCCAGATCTAGTGGCTGAACCTGTTAGAAGTATTGTGACAGAAAGTTGTGTGACTTAGTTGTTTAAACAGGTAGCCAGATCTAGTGGCTTAACCTGTCAGAAGTATTGTGACAGAACGTTGTGTGACTGGAATGTTTAAACAGGTAGCCAGATCTAGTGGCTGAACTTGTCGGAAGTATTGTGACAGAATATTGTGTGACTGGAATGTTTAAACTACAGTATGTTTGATTTCATTTGAGACCTATGAATTGCTCACTAACACAAAATCTAATAATTGCAACAAAACCAAATTTTGCACAGTCACATGAAATCGGCAGACCAACTCTGATGATTTGTATCACAATTTTGGACACCCGAATATAAAAGTTGTTTAACAAATGATCATTATTTTATTGTCACTTTTCACAGGGCCATTGCTGGTAGAATAGCCAGGCGTGTGAGTTACACGAGTAAAATTGAAATTTGACTACACATGCTTGTTGATTACCTGGCTGCTCTACCAGCACGTGGACCAAAGTTATGAAACAAATCATCAGAGTGGAACTCTCAATTTCATGTGACTGTGCAAAATTTGGTTGAATGGCTGTGCAATACCGGTACAGTATCTGATTATCGCGATATGGTTCAGATTCTGCAATATATTGGGGGTCTTCCAGAGTTAGCTCCCTTTGAATTATCTGCACTTGATTTCCATAGCAACAAAATGAGCTCTAAAAGTGCCAAATATGCTTTTGTTTCTTTTCTGTTTCGTGTAACATTTCACATAGGCTGCAAAAGTGCCAAATATACTACCAAATGCTTTAAGTTTTGGGGTTTGAATGGTTTCATATGTGACGTTATGGAGGAATAAGTGGCCTCAAATGGACCAATCTTTTACGAAAAGCAAGATTTATGGATGTCAACTTATTGTTGTGAATAAGACAACGTTTCGGAGTGTATGCTTGCTCCTTCATCAGGTCATGAATATTCACAATAAAAAGTTGACATCCATAAATCTTGCTTTTCTTATGCATTCCACTTGTAAATGCCCTTCAAAAAGTTGACCAATCTTTTATTTGGACTTATAAGTAGAGCTACTGGCTCTGAGTGACTATTTCACAATTCACATTATTTTGTTATTTTTGCTTTGTTTGATAATGGGATATATGTTATCAATTTATGATAAAGGCCAAAGTCTTATAAATTTTGTAGACTGTATAATGACATTCTAGTGAAGGATTTTAGTTATTGGAGGTCACATGAGATTCTAAGCTCAAGTAGTTCACATAAATCATGTTTTTGTTTCATTTTACAACAGTTCATGTTAACACATGTTTATATTGGAGTTGAATCTGAATGAATCACTGACAAACAGTAACAATAATGACATACTGCATTGAAGTGCATTCTGTTGAAGCAAACAACACTGACCATGAAAATCATGTTATAGTATTACCTTTATCCTTATGTTACAAAACGTTGTTGCCATACAGTTACTTCAATGAAACATTCCACATTAAGGCTCTATATCACTTATCTGTACACCACTGGCATACACCCATACACAATGGGGACAGGAAGCCTGAACAGATGGTGTAACAGCAACTAAGATGATGATATCGCACACAGAGAGCTATTGTGAATTTATGATGTCCACACTTGGACAGAAACCTTCCAGTCAATATACCACAATATGTATTGCAATATCTCCTGAATTATTGCAATATGAGAATCAGGACAATATCCAGCCCTATTAGTGAGCAATTCATCCGTCTCAAATAAAAACAAATGGACTGTAGTAGCTGCAGCATGAAATAAGGATTCATTGTGGTATGGACTCTTTGTTTCAGGGCACTGTCATCCCTCCACCTCTTTAAGGCTGTGTGGAGGTAGTGGCGGGGCGGACATCTTGTGTGTCCTTCACACAGCTGTAACAGTGTAACAGGGGAGTACAGCTATTGTGTTACATCTATTGTGTTACATCTATTGTATATAATTTTATAATATATGAGAATTGTGTATGTTTGAATTACTGAGACTGTTGTATGAGAGAGACTGTACAAATGTGATATATTGTATAATAGTTGCCTGTATAGTATGTTATATTGTATAATAGTTGCCTGTATGGTATGTTATATTGTATAATAGTTGCCTGTATGGTATGTTATATTGTATAATAGTTGCCTGTATAGTATGTTATATTGTATAATAGTTGCCTGTATGGTATGTTATATTGTATAATAGTTGCCTGTATAGTATGTTATATTGTATAATAGTTGCCTGTATGGTATGTTATATTGTATAATAGTTGCCTGTATGGTATGTTATATTGTATAATAGTTGCCTGTATGGTATGTTATATTGTATAATAGTTGCCTGTATGGTATGTTATATTGTATAATAGTTGCCTGTATGGTATGTTATATTGTATAATAGTTGCCTGTATGGTATGTTATATTGTATAATAGTTGCCTGTATGGTATGTTATATTGTATAATAGTTGCCTGTATGGTATGTTATATTGTATAATAGTTGCCTGTATGGTATGTTATATTGTATACAGGCTGCCTGTATGGTATGTTATATTGTATACAGGCTGCCAATAAGGGTTGAACTGGTATGATATGTTGTTTAAATGAAATTGGTGTGATATATTTTACAAACATTGCAGACTGGTATAAACTGTAAATAGTACACCAAGATATGATACATTGTATACCTATTGCTAGATGGTATGTGAGATTGTACACACATTGCTATCTGGTATGTGAGATTGTACACACATTCTATCTGGTATGTAAGATTGTATGTATATTGCTATCTGGTATGTAAGATTGTATGTATACTCTCCCAAAAAAGAAACGCATATAGGAATTTCAGCTGTATTTTTATGTTTATTTTGAAACATCTTGTAGGCTTTATGAGTCAATGATATATAGCGAAATTGCACACTGGGAATGCAGACTTATCCGTCTTTGGCACCAACTCGAGGAAAGTCAGTTTGAGTGTCACATGGAGACGTGTGGTGGCGCTGAAGTCAATACCTCGTGTGACCACCATGGGCATTCAGAACTGCACGGCATCGCCTCGGCATCGAACGAATAAGTCTCAGCATCTAGGTTGCCCAATCGCAGCCCACTCTGCCTGTAGTGCCTGTGCGAGTTGCTGAAGTGTCTGGGGCTGAGGGTTACGGCGTCACACCCGTCTGTCCAGGGCATCCCACAGATGTTCGATCGGGTTTAAGTCCGGTGATCTTGAGGGCCAGAAGAGCACATTGATATTGTGGCTCTGGAGGAAGTCTCTAGTGTGACGTGCTGTGTGGGGCCTGGCATTGCCCTGTTGAAACAACTCCCTCTGGCGATCAATGATTGGAAGGAGGTGTGGGCGAGGATTTCGGCCACAGTACTGTTGAGCTGTCAGGTTGCCCTGGATCATCACCAAATCACTTCTCCTACGGCAGGTGGTCGCCCCCACATCATAACACTGCCCGGCCTAATCTGTCCACCTGGGGAACGCAAGCGCCGGGCTTAAACGTTCATGTCGACGCCTGTACACCCGCGTTCTTCCATCGCTGTTCCAATAGAAATCGCGGATTCATCACTGAACCAGATTCTACACCAATTCGGTAGGTTCCAGGCCTGAACGCTGGTGCACCATTGAACTCAATGTCGACGATGTTGTTGTCGAAGCACAGGCCCAAAATAAGGTCTTCTGGCACGTAAAACCAGCCCTCTCAACCTGTTCCTGACGGTCTGTGCAGAAAGCCTCCTCAGTCTGGGTATTTGTCGAGCGGTCCTGGTCGCCGAGCTGTTCGATGACGCAGGTGATGTACCCGATGTAGTGATCCCATACCGCAGTGGTCGCCGAGGTCGCCTTCACTCATGAGGGGCATCTGCTACCGCGATTCTGCCGGCGATATATCTCCCAGAGCCGTGAAATGGTGCTTTGGTGAACATTCATGCGCCGGGCCACTGCACGCTGAGACTGGCCAGCTTCAAGCAAACCAATGGCGATATGATGGTTGGCTTCACTTAGACGTGGCATTTTATGTTCGTCAACAATATTCCAAATACAGTGAATAATCGACAGACAGCGATCAACCTTTTATACCCATCATTGAGACTATCTGATCCCCAACTTTCACGTGCATTGCATGTGAATTGTGTATTCTGTGACACTACACCGAAATTGAAAATCATGCTGTTAAATACGGGTATTGTGCAGATGGTGCGTTTTGTTGTGATGTTTCAAAACATAAACACCACAGGACTCATAAACAGAGCAAAACCTTTTGTAAAATGAATCACGTTTTAATTCATTGCTACATGAAATTGCTATTTTCATTATGTGTTTCTTTTTTGGGAGAGTATATATTGCTATCTGGTATGTAAGATTGTAGGTATATTGCTATCTGATATGTGAGATTGTATGTTTATTGCTATCTGGTATTGGAGGTTTTTGATCTGACGACAATAGAAATGAGGGAACAGATATGTAATCTGTCATATCTTCTGTTTTACTGTCTCGGTTGTTTTTAATTTATTTGTAGATTCTATCAGATTTGAAAAATATTACTCAGAAGATGTGCTCTCACTTTTCCATTTACGCCACACCAGTAATGTAGTTGCCTATTTCAGTCAGTGGGCCAGCAGCACAGTGGGATTTGTTCTTTCTGATTTGTTGTTTTTCTCTACTGCCACTAGTGCAGGCCTTAGTTCACAACTAGCTGTTCAACAGGTAAACTGACGGTAAAACAGGTAAACTGACTGTATAACAGGTAAACTGACTACATAACGGATAAACTGACTGTATAACAGGTAAACTGACTGTATAACAGGTAAACTGACTGCATAACAGGTAAACTGACTACATATCGGATAAACTGACTGTATAACAGGTAAACTGACTGCATAACAGGTAAACTGACTGTATAACAGGTAAACTGACTACATAACGGATAAACTGTCTGCACATCAGGTAAACTGTCTGCACATCAGGTAAACTGACTGCACAACAGGTAAACTGACTACACAACAGGTAAACTGACTGCACAACAGGCAAAACTGGCTGCACAACAGGCACACAGGCTGCACAACAAACTGACTACACAACAGGTGAACTGCACAACAGGTAAACTGAATGCACATCAGGTAAACTGTCTGCACAACAGGTAAACTGACTGCACAACAGGTAAACTGGCACAACAGGTAAACTGACTGCACAACAGGTAAACTGACTGCACAACAGGTAAACTGACTACACAACAGGTAAACTGACTGCACAACAGGTAAACTGTCTGCACAACAGGTAAACTGACTGTAAAAATGAAGCAAAATGACATTACCTCAACAGTGCTGCTTAACTTTTCATATATATGATAAATATTTCTAAATACACCAAGCAGTTAATCTATCGTGGCACATGTACACTTAAACATTACTGTAATACATGATCATAAAAAGATACGTAGTGTCCGGGAACGGAATGTATACGAGACATTCAAGAGAAATAAAAGGACATCTAATTACATTTCAGTTTGTATAGATCTTCTTTATATGCCACATGGATGCACTTGATGGGATATTTATTACCCTGTGCAATATTTCACTGTCTGCTTATAAATATTTAAACAGCGACTCTCTTGTCAATGGGAAAATACATTCTGTATTGAGATGACTCAATTTCAACTTTTATGATACATTTCTTTGGGTACATTCTGAGAGGGCATTCAGCGTGACAGAATTGCTTTATGTGAAAAATGATCTGAGTCACTGACTATGGTTTCTTTCATAGTTGATCTGATGAAAAACTTTAAATTATGTGACAATATCATCCGTGGATGTTTATAACTAGGAGTATGGTTACTGCAATTTGAACAGTTTAATTTGATGTAAGATTTGATTGTGCTTTCGTCGTTTTTCATTTTAGTTTAACACTGCACTTGAAAGTATTTGAGCTACATGAAGGCAGCCTGCAAATAATCAAGTCTGGTCCAAGCAATCCAGTGATTGATATGATGAAGAGCAATCCACATTGCCAGGGTATTGATATGCAATCCACAGTCTGAGTCTGATGACTGAGTCTGATGACTTGATTCTTTAACCTTTTGTGGCCAGCATAGATGGCTGGGGACATATTCTTGTTTGTAATCCACATGGGGCAGTGTAACAAGAATATTTTGTACATGTTAACTCGGCATACAGTTATGTACAAATGGGCTGTCCTGTCTTCTGCATTTCACCTAATACATACATACATACATACTAACATTTGTATAGCGCCGATATCCAGCTCAGTTCAGCTGCTCAAAGGAGCTTTGTTTTTCCCCTCGCTCACTGGATGTCAATCTCAACGGCACATCGTATTGTCAATCTCAACTCCCTGGGGAGCATACAACTAATGTGATATCCTTTATTTACTTTGCACATATGTTTCAGAGTGGAATAAGTTTTATGTCCATGTTGGAAGATGGGAGTGAATAATCACTGTCTCTTGTGTAGTTTCACCAAATTGTTATCATATATGAAACTGGGTTATCTGACTCCCAGATACAAATCTGTCTTTGGAACATGGAGAAGGATCTACTATCACCTACGTTAATGTTGGATCCAAGACACATTTGTGTTCAGTCACCTGACACCTCACACACACACACTTTGAAATCTCATGTTTGTTGCACTTTGATATTGGCCTACACTGTTTGTTAAAACATTTTTCAGGTTTTTAAATAAATAATTGTATAATTACATCTTGAGTTTTTATTTTATGTTATTTCTGTTTAAGAGAAAATATGTTTGTTTTGATAATTTGCCTTATCAAGTTGGGCTTACAGCTCTTTTAGCAGGATTTCAGCCATGAATAACTTGTGGAGTCAAAAGTGAACACTTTAACCACAAGCATACCCCATCATGGAAATAAGCTTCACCCATTGTACTGTTGGGGATACAAGCAAACCTTTTAACCACATGGCTACTGTACCACTTAAACCAGAAAGCTACTATACCAATTTAATCACAAGGCTACTATTCCACATTAGCCAGAAGACTACTGTACCACTTTAGCCAGAAGGCTACTATACCACTTTAACCACAAGGCTACTATACCAATTTCACCAGAAGGCTACTATACTAATTTCACCAGAAGGCTACTATACCAATTTCACCACAAGGCTACTATACCAATTTCACCAGAAGGCTACTATACCACTTTAACCACAAGGCTACTATACCAATTTCACCAGAAGGCTACTATACCAATTTCACCAGAAGCTTACTATATTAATTTCACCAGGATGCTACTATACCACTTTAACCACAAGGCTACTATACCAATTTCACCACAAGGCTACTATACCAATTTCACCAGAAGGCTATTATACCAATTTCACCAGAAAGCTACTATACCAATTTCACCAGAAGGCTACTATACCAATTTCACCAGAAGGCTACTATATCAATTTCACCAGAAGGCTACTATATCAATTTCACCACAAGGCTACTATATTAATTTCACCACAAGGCTACTATACCACTTTAACCACAAGGCTACTATACCAATTTCACCAGAAAGCTACTATATCAATTTCACCACAAGGCTACTATATCAATTTCACCACAAGGCTACTATACCAATTTCACCAGAAGGCTACTATACCAATTTCACCAGAAGGTGACTATACCAGTTTAAGCAAAGGCTACTATACCACTTTAGCCAGTGAGTGACTTTGGTTTTACGTCACTTTTAGCAATATTCCAGCAACAGCACAACAGGGGACACCAGAAATGGGCTTGACGCATTGTACCCATATGGGGAATCGAACCTGGGTCTTTGGCGTGACGAGCGAAAGCTTTAACCACTAGGCTACCCCACCGCCCCCTTTAGCCAGTAGGCTACTATATTACTTTAGCCACAAGGCTACTATACCCACTTTAACCAGAAATATTTGTCCTAAGTATAAAGCTAAAGTTCCGTACAGTCCAGGGGAGGCAAGTAGCTTGATAGATGGCGTAACACCCTTGTGAAATCAGTCCAGCCTCCATTTTGAAATTGTTGAACCAGAGGCAGTGCAAGACTGCATATGTTTGTAGAGGATGTATGTGTAGACATCACAAGTATCAAAACAATACAACATATGATTTTTAATGATACATCTGTCTACCAAACAATCCTCTAAATCATGCTTATATCTCACATTTGCTGTACTATCAACTAGAATCGAGGAGAAAATTTAGTAATGATCACAAAGAGAATCCAACCCAAGTTTAGAAAGAGTTAGCAAGTCTATATTGCCACAGTTCAGAAATTAATCATTGTTCTGGGCATCATGGAGTTTTCTTTTGGTACATATGTATATATTATAAATGAGATTACTTTATTTCTGGGAAGGTTGAAATACTGCAGAGACTTTGTTGTAGCCTAAACCACCCAAGGTTCATGATTGGAAGATTATGGGATTCGAACCCAGGCTGTGGCATTCAAGTACGACTTAAAGACGCGCATCAGCAAATCTGCAGTCAAGCCTCACGTATGTTGTGCCATTAAACGTACAGTAAATGTGCTGTTTATTCAATAAAATATGCTGTATTGAAGTTTTGAGACGCAACTTCCGACGGTAACGGAGTTCAAGCGAGAAAGTCATCTCGTACCCGTGAAGATCCGGGTAAGAGGCGACTAACGGGATCTGGTATTCAGGCTCGCTGACTCGGTTGACACATGTCATCGTATCCCAATTGCATAGATCGATGCTCATGCTGTTGACCACTGGATTGTCTGGTCCAGACTCGATTGTTTACAGACCGCCGCCATATAGCTGGAATATTGCTGAGTGCGGCGTAAAACAACAAGCAAACAAGCAAGCCACATGTGCACCATATTCAAGAAGAAAGGTATTTGAAGCAGACATGTTGTATCCCCGGTCCGACTCGTGTGTATTATGTTAAGTCTGATTTAAAGGTCACATGCAACGTAAAACACAACCTTGCAAATTCTGATACCTTTCGGTATGGACTTACCGAAACAAATCGTCAAAAATGCAAATTCAACTTGAAAGTTGAAAAATAACGCGATGAAAAAACCCGCGCAAAATCGTAGTTCAAACGATTCACTAATTTTCCCCCAGCGCTTGGGGGAATTCAAGTGGTTTCAACAGCTGGGCTGCGCTCATAGCACATGCGCAGTGAAATAGAATCGCGCAGCTTGGAAGCGGGCATTCTCTTCCCACAGAAGATATGGAAGATATGACAGGAGTAACCTCTGTGGGAAGTGAATGAGTTTTCCAATGTGAATCATAACTCGCACACACACCCTAGTGTATGTTGTCTGTCTCATTACACTTCACGGCGAAAATAATGATTCTGTTGAATGCTACGACAAATGAATAAAAACAAAATGCAAATATTAAAATTAAAACAGATTAAAGTTATAGGAACAATGTCAGGCTATTACCTTGTTCGAGGAATGTATCCATCAATATCCACAAAAAACGAGTGATATGCCATTCATCTGCAGCTGTTCCAAGTGATGTGTCTTTTAACAGTTTAATATACGAAAAAGTGATAAATCTTTTCAGGTATTTCACATTGGTGTATAGTCTCATTGGTCACCCAAGATAGCACACTTGGCAACTAATTGCATAATGTCCGCCTTTCTTTAAAAACAGTAATTTAGTTAGCCAATAATGGGCAATCAATCAATGTATTGCCGGTTAATCCTTTGAAAGAAGGACGTTGTTTTTACGCAGACACCGACACGACAGAGTGTATTCAGTATAGATTAGTAAATCTACATACATAAACACTACCTTTTGACAAATCCGCTGTGTAAGATAAAAGTAATTAATCAATCAGCGTGTTATCGGTTAATCCTTTGATCGATGTTTATAATGTTGAATATTTACTCCAGACACAAGAAATGCCAAATGGGAACCTTTGTCGGGTAATCTAAGTGTGTTACCACTAATTATACCTGTTATGAATTCATTAGCTGACCATCAAGTGAATGATGACAAATAACATGTGTAGGTTTATACCACCTAACACGGGTTATAACAAGGGAGTATTAATTGCTGTATTGCATGTGAAAACTCATGGGCTGACACTGTTTTGAGAATACAAACAGATTTTTACATGACATGATTAAATACGGAGGTAAAAAAAAACACAGAAATGGGATCAATTTGGATCAGTCATTATACAAATAAGGCCTAACGACACCAAGCGATTTTGACAGAATCGTCTATGAAAACAAGTTGTAACTCGGAAACTAGGCAAAGCAGGAGACAAAATTAAATGACAGTAGATTGTGAGAACATATAGCTTTCATTTTCCACAACAGTTGTCATGATTTCAGGTTTATACAAACCTGTAAACAAGATAATTTACCCCCTGAAATGTAGATGAATTCTGCATCGGCCCTCATATCTATTCCTCATATGACGTCACAGAGACGCCCCGCTCTGATTGGTTGAAATTTCGTTCGCGGGTGAGAATTGTGCACTGTTGTCAAAAAGGTCCATTTAAGTTAATTAAAGACCGAAGTGAGTAGTTTTAACGACGGGGTTTCATTTATAGCGATGGCAGTTAGTGATTTATGTATTTGTACCCCCCCTAGAGTATATGTGACCTTTA